TTTTTTTTTTTTAAGAAAAAGAAATGAAACTATTTCTATCTAATCAAGGGAAGAGAAAAAGAAAGCTAAGTAGAGGAAGAACAAATTATGCCTCCAGTGGGGTAAATGAGAAGTTTTAGATAACTCTGCATATCCTCTTTTCATGACCAAGAACTAGATTTCCATAAATATCTCTGTTCTGATAGATGAAGCCACACTTTTAATGGGCAACTGGATTTTTTTTTTTTTGGACTTGTAACTTTAATATAATTTTATGTGTTATGGTGGGCTTAAAGTCTTTCAGAATGGTTTAATTGCATTGCTGATGCAGTCACAGTTTTGATCATGAGCAGCCACAGGGATTCAATTAATTTAATTTACTTAATTTAGATGCTGCTTGACTCCAAACAACTCTAGGCAGCTTGCAATATAGCAAATAGAATAACATACAATACAATTCAAAACCAACAAAAAACAGATAAGAAAGCAGATAAAGAACAAAATGGCAAATCTGGCTAACAACAACATTCACAAGGGGCTCCAACCTCCCATGATCTGGGAGGAGCCAGGTCTTTGAGGCCCTCTGGAATGCTATCAGGGTGAGAGCACCTGGATTTCAGGGGGAACTTCATTCTGGGGGAAAGGTACCAACAACAGAGGAGGAACGCCTCCTGGGTCCTGAAGCATGACACTGTTTAATTGAAGGGACCCGAAATGTGCCAACCCTGTTGGCTTGTACTGGCTAGGCAGATAGCACAAGAGATAAACATTCCTTCAAATAACCAGGCTTTATGCCATGTAGTGCTTTATAGGTCATAGCCAGCACCTTGAAGTGCAACCAGAAACAGACCTGTAACCAATGCAGCTTGCAGAGCAGATGATGCATGCATGTCACTGCCTATGCTGCTGCATTTTAGAACAGATGAAGCCTCTGAGGGCCACCCCACATAAAGCACATTGCAACAGTCGATCTGTGAAGTGACTAGGGCATGAATGACTGTCTGAAGGGCCTCTTGATCCAGAAAAGTGTGCAACTGGTGACTAGAGGAAGCTATGCAAAGGCCTTTTACTAATCAATTAAATTAGTTGATCAATAAGCAAATAAATACTGAAGAATCGATTTGTTTTTCATGTATCCCAATGTGTCTCTAATGTCCTTGGAGACAAATAGTGACTACAGAGCTGCATCCCTTCCACAGGTCCTGCAAAACTATAGAAAATTATATTTAATTATAATTTCTTTATTCTCCCAGAGTTCCATCAACTTCTTGAAGCTTCTGGCATGTAATATATATCTATTACCTGAGTGTGTCTGATGTGATAGTTGTGAATACTTGCATACTTCTTTCCCACAAAAATCAGAAGGAAATAGCTCACTATTGCCAGAGATGAAGCGTGTAATACAATTCTGTTCATTTTTGAGAAGTCAGGTAGTGTAGGATTCAGAAACCTGAAACAAAAGAGATGCTTCAATCCTGTGTAAGTTGTACAAAGACCTCCTTGAACATCTGATGCAGCTATATCAGCTATAGTTCTATTTATTTACTGATTTACTACCGTCTCTTTCAACCCACAATTTTGTGCACCAAGCAAGTAGTGGTAATGGGATATGTGCCGCTGGGCTTCAAACTCTGAATGTTATGTACTTATTGTTAGCTATCTTAAGAAACTTTTTCTGAAAGCTAAGACAAATAACTTTTAAATAGTTTAAAAGTTTAAGTTGAGAAATAGGTAAAAACTTTTCCAGCCTCCTTTTCTAGAAGACCTGTGCAACACTTCAGATTTGATCTCTAAAAGGTGTTTTGGATAGCAAACACAACACCTCTCTGCACTCATTAAAGCAGCTGGCTCTTTTCCAGGGATCATACAACTGCCCTTCACAGCTGCCACATAATTCTGGAAAGGAGACAGCTGTTTTAAGGTGTTACACGGACATTCCCATGTACTCTAAAACACCTTTCAGAGATCAGTTTTGACATTCTGCACTGCATTAGAGAAGAACCAGTTTGTATAATACATTATTATTCTTAAGTCATGTTAAGAAGCATGCAGTAATTATGGATCTTTATGAGTACTGATGTTTCACACATGACACTGATGGCTTGAAACAAAGAATCATTACACTGGTCAGTCATTGGGGAGCTGTCAATAGGGAAATTATATATAATGTTTCAACACTGTTGGCTTGACTAAATTCAGTTGGCATACACATGGCCACCATAGCAAGTAGAGAAAGGCAGCATGGATGTGAGTGACAAAATTGGTAACACTGAAATATTTATAGATTTCATGCTTTGGCCAACATTTTAAAGGAATTTCAAGCTGGGGTGTTATTACCAAGAACACTTCTTTACGCAGTTCTTCAATTTCAGCTGAAATTGCCTACATCACAATCTAGTATAGTAATACATTATTTCCTTTCCTTTTTCTTATTTCATTGTTTTAATTTCTTTGGTTTATTATTTCTTATTCCTTTTCTCCACCTGCATATCTTACCCTGAAAGGGAACAGTATGATGGGTATATATTTATATATGTATGAATGATACATAATACTAGATTCAGATTACATACCTGTGGGGAGTCATTGTAAAAACTCCCTGACTGGATTCAGCATATAGATGTGTGTGGGTAGAAAGTATTGCAGATATAATAATCTGTAAAAGAAAAGAAAATGTACTATACATTACTTGAGCTGAATATTATTTATTTAAATGTATTTATACATTACATTTGTGTACCCCCCAAATCCAACCTTGACTAATGGCAATTGTGATGCCAATATCTATCTAGGCATTATGGACTAATAATTGTCCTGTTTTGACCAAACATTGAAATGGACTGTAACAACAGTATATTCAGTGGTGTAATGGCAAACAAGACAGACTTTTGTTTAGTTACCTCAGGCAGTAGGACACAGTCACCTGTGCAAAGATTAGTATTAGGAGGAAAAAAACCTTAATGGTCAGAAAAGTATTTTCCCCCACAGCAAGTTTCACTGATACTGAAGCTTAAGATGGAATGTTTAAACCTCCATTCCCCAACACTGCATTTCTAAGGACAATAGACCTCAACACCCTTACATAAAACTGGGTTTGTCAGAACCTTGGACAGAGCATTCTTCCTGTCTCTGCAGTTAAGGCAAAGAAAGGATGGTGTGGTACCCTCTGAATTTGAGGAATCTGATAAAATAAGTTCTTCTGACCTGAAATAAGTTATAATAACGGACAATGCTTCCTTCAGATGCAATGTTTCCATAACCTTCTTTGGGGGGGGGGATCTTAAGACCAATTAAGATACCCAAAACAAAAGAGTAGCAAAATACTTAAAATGCATTCCAAGAAGTTTTGTATTAAAGAAACACAATGTTTGAAGGAAGCTGTTCCATGGATCATTCTATGACTTTAAGTCATTTACAAAACTGTGGGGGCATAAATGTAATTTTATTGAAAAATGCAGATATTTACCAAAAAAAGCTCCATTGGAAACTCAACAGGATAGTGTTTATAGGTTATTTTAATGCATTTGCTGACCCTCAGCATTAGTAAAGAAAGCAAGAACAGCAGGATACTGGTGGAATTTGCTTTAGGGAGACCCATGCAGTAGTATACCAAATTCTGAAAAAAGAAAATGTCAGCAAAAATGTTCAGAATTCATTCTTGAATGTTAATTCATTGCTAATAGGATAAACATCAACATAGTCTTTTAAATGATAGAGTTTTTTGCCTCAGAAATGAATTCAGCAGAGTGAAAAGTACTTCACTTTGTTATTATAAATATAACAGCTTTATAAATGCTTCCTTTTTTAAACAGGAAATATCTTTATATATTGTGCATTGTCCATGAATCTCACATCTGTATATCTCACATAAGCAGCCCAAAATTATTTATTTATTTATTTATTTATTTATTTATTTATTTATTTATT